ACAGAATGCAGACATTACAATAAGGTTCTGAGGTCATCACATACAGAACAGATAAAGGAATGTCAGTCAATCATACAGAGACAAAGAGATTACAATATTTCTAATTGCAGTGTACTGACACTTTAGTTGAGTAACTTGAACCCATCTCCAGGTCTGCTTAGACATGTAAATTCAAGCTACTGAGAAACTATTCATGAACTCAGACCCTTATCTAGACTCTAGACATTCTGAATGACCAGGGCACATGAAGCCCTCTGGGCTAGCAAGATACTTCCTGGTAAACTGTGAATTCCAATGACATTTTAAACAGTGACTTAGCTTGGTTTGAGGAGGGAGTACAGGATTGATTCTACAATTGCAAAAGCACACAGAAGCAATGCTTTTCTGACAGGATTTATCCAAATTTTCCCAACACCCTCAGTCACTTCCTTGCAGTAGTTAGGTCAAAAACACCAAAAAAATTGGTGAGGTCAAAAGCAACACAACTAGTAATTCAAAATAAATGATACAATTGCTTGGAGAATCAGGCAGGAAAATGGAAGCCTCTTTCATGGTGGAAAAATACTTCCAAGGAAATTGGAGGTCAAGTTTTGGTCCAGCACTAGCTCCAACTTCTCCCTGAAGCTGGATGCAATACTTCGGGATGTGCAAGGAATCTGCCTGGGGATGGGAATCCATAGGATTTCGCAGGCTCGGTTCCCCAGCCTTCAGTCCGCATGCAGCAGCCCAGAGTCCATGTTCCTGGTGAGCGTGTCCAGTGTTTGCAAAGCGCTCACCTTGAATTGAACCCCAAGCACTGCACAGGCATGGCCTCTTTCCCCCATGGGCCACCACTGCTGCAGTGAAGAAGGTTGGCCACTAGGAATGGCGGCTGGCAGGCGCCCTTGCAGCTACTCTCCTCCTCATTCTGCTGCTGCTCCTGATGGAGAACGTTGTTGATTGTATAACCAGGCAGTGACTCTCCAAAGTTTCAGATAACAGCCTTTTTTTAGCCTTACCTAGAGATACTGTGGGTCAAACCTGCAACCTGTGTGACAAGTTCTACCACTACACCACAGCCTGTATTTCCCTGTCGGTATACGTATGTCTCTTAGTCCAGTTTAAATCAATGGATATTTAGAATATATAGCCTTTTTGGCAATAATTGTCTGACCACCCAGTCCTACCCTTTTTAATGGTCATCTCTTGGAGGACATCAAATGTCTTTGACTTTGTCCTAGTGTCTGGCTTTTGGTTTTGAAAATTGCTGATTTTCTGCTACTGCTTCTTGTTGTTACAGATGTCCCTGTTGAGAAGCTTGCCTTGATGGAGTCTCTCCAGAGTGTGAACCTCATGTCAAACCCACTGAACGAGGAGGTCCGGGTGATTGCCAGGCCTCTGATCAAGTTCAACCTTCTCATGTCTCCAGCCATTCCCCAAGTCTGAAAGGTGCTTGACTTGGCCATGCAGCTGCAGTTGGTCATGGTTAAAGAGGACAAGAGAATGAAGCATCTGCTGGGCTAGAACACATGTGTGGCTTTCCTAAGCTGCAGTGCTCCTGCATGCGTTAGTTTTAATGCTCATGGGAAGCAGGACAGTTGTGCCAAACGACAGTAGCTCTTGCTGATAGGAATCTCTGCCAGCCTGTGGCATTTTTGAAGGCATATAATGCCTACAAAGAAATCTGACTCCCTTTGAATGGTTAAGAGAGAGCAGCTTTCCTAGGGAAAACAATAGATGAGCTAGTCCTGTGCCGCAGATTTTCCCATACCCACTAATCTCTGATTTAAGGCAGGTCTGACCAACTGTATGCCTGAGGGAGGACTAATCAAACATTAGCAGTTTCTGTAGCCCACAAATGACATCTTGTACTGTTTGAAATTGAATTTGCAAGAACAAGAAAACCAGCTTCAAAAGGTGTGTGCATGAGAGAGAGAATTTTGGTCTTAGATCTCTTTTGGACATCATGATACAACCAACAGGTGCTCATTGATGCTATTATAGCACATGGCAAATGCCAAGAGGATCCAGTTGTGCAACCAATACACAAAGGTAATAAATCTAAGTCTACTGTCTAAAGAATACTGTTGGCTTTAAGAGTACAAAATATGGCCCTCTTAGTTTAAAGATTCCATAAGCATATGAGTGTAAATCCAGCTATAATGCCAGCTGTCATAATGTCATTGCAAGTAAACTCCTCTCTAAAGTTTGCATTGTGTGATCATCAAGTATTTCCTTAAAACTGCTTCATTTGGCTTTGTTGTGAATTCTGGTTTCACTACCATGGCAATGAGAAACTTCTAGTCATTATTACTACCCTCTTTATAAAGATTCTTTCATCATGCTTTCCAATTCTTTGCAAATTCTCTTTGAATGAAAAACATTTGCTCTTTTTGCTGTCCTCTTTAGTATATTTTGCCCTCCTGGCTTGTATCCCTTTGTGGTGGATCAGCTTGGCAGAGTATAGGCTTTTGCAAGGGCATTTTAAAAGCACAGTGATTATATTTTATCCTAATAAAGCACCAGTGCATGGCACGTGGCAGAAGACTTAAAAGAGCGAAGACTACTGGAAACTGCAGAGTATTTCTATATATAGACATACAGTACCCCAAACAGGATTCAGGTGCCCCCCATAATATTGTCCCCAGTGCAGAAGCCTGTTTTTCCCCATATAAATGAATTGCTGCCATTCACTGCTATGGAGAAAACTAAAGGAAGTGCACTTTGAGTGTGGACTGCAGCTGTTCCTTGCCCTACTGATCCCAGCCTTTGAGCATGAAGCAAGCCTCTGCAGATCCACCTGCCTCCTCACTTGCATGGCCCCATCGGGTCCTCGTTCCTTCTCACTGTTGAGAAGGGAGTGCAAATCTTTTGTGGCCTGAAGAGGAGATCACTCACAAACTACACGTTTCATCATGTTGTCATGCAGGTGCACCGCAACAGGTTGGGCCAGCAAAGCAGCACCTGTGCATTTCCCGCTCAGTCAGGTTCCATGCTGGGCGTGGAGAAAAAGGCATCTGTTCCTCTGCAGCCAGTGTGGAAGCTGATGGGGCTGGCAGAGACAGTACTCTGCATTGCTAGCCCAACTGGCTCACTTCCCTCACCCTGCTTGCTGCTGTTCAACTACTTTGCAATCAGCTGAGCAGTGGCAGAACGGGAAAGCATGGGCAGGAGGGATGGCAGTTCCTCTCCCTGTCGTTCCCCCACCCCTGTGCCTTCAGCTGGTCAAGAAGAGAGCGTTCCCTTGTCAGGGCATTCCTGTTGCCTTGAAGTGCTGGTTCCCAGCAGAGCAAGCTTCCCTTCTCCTTGCTTTTCCCAACACTGTGGGGCTTCAGAGAATGGGCCAGATGGGGAGCAGAGACAGCTTGGGGCAGAAACAGCCCCCAGGCTCTAGAGTCTCCCCATCCCTGCTCTAGGAAATGCAGGAAATGGGCCCCTGGACTTATTGGGAACTGCAAAGTAACCTGCACTATGCTAAGAGAAGCAGAATCTACTTCAAATAGTGAATTTGAAGTAGTGAATAGTGAATCACTATTTGGATTATGCTTCCCTACCGCATCCTGAATTAATACACATTTAACCTATTCAGGGGTGGGGGAACTAACCTGAAAAAGGCTGTTACTTGCCTTAGCTGTTATCAGTGGGGTAGCCTGGCTCATTCCTCATGTATCTGTACAGATTTGCTTCTTGCCAGAGGAAAACTGCTGCTTTCATCCAAGAGCAGCAAAAAAGTACATGTTTATGGATGGATAGTTGGCTGGTTGGTTTGTTGGTTTTTAAAGAGTCTCTTAGAATGGTGAATTGGCTCACATTCTGATTTTGATTAACTGCAGCATAGTGGCTTGCCTTAGGGTTGGAGCTCATTTGCTGTTAAACAACATATACTTATTTTTTTAAGCAGCATAGTATTGGATTTAAAAAAAAAAAAAAAACCACTGTTCCCCTTAGGCTGCTCTTTGCCTCTCTCTCTTTCTCTCCTTCACTGTGTGACTGACAGGTGACAGTGACTTGTTGCTTTGGCAAATGAGCACCCAGAGCCTATATGGCAATGGATGAGGTATTTGTAGCAATGGGAACCCTTCCACTTTGAAAAATGGGAGGAAAACTGCAGAGGTTGCTTTTCCAAGGGTGGGGGGCTGCCTGTAGCCAGCTAATATCCATGTGACTTGTTCCACCCACTACAAATATGTGAAGTTTGGTTTTAGTTTCATGCCTTGTTCCACTCAGCTTATGATCTTTCTGTTTGTCTGAAGAGAGAACAGCCTCTTCTCATGTAAAGTGTAAGCTGTTGTCTCCTTCTCATGGTCACCCCTATTTGTAGAGGCTCAGGTTAAAGCCAAACCTTTTACAATCACTGACTTCTACATCCTAGTTCTTCTCCCAGCCTTTCCTTTCCACACCTACTAAACTTGGCTTAGTATCCAGGAGTAGTCAAAGTGACATCCTCCAGATATATCGTGATGCAAAACATTACTTCCTCCCCATCACCCCCCTCCAGCCATCCCTTCTGTTTTCCCCATTACAGGTGAGATACAGTAAATATCTCACATTCTTCATGGAGATTTTAAGAAATTTACTAATCTTTTCTTCCTGTTATTTCCCTCCTTGCCTCTCTACTTTTGAAAACATGTAAGACTTCACAAACTCACAAGTCTTGCTAGAAGAGTGCCCCCATCTAAGGACACACCATTTGTTTTATGAGATTGCGGTAACATTACATTTTATTGGTGAACTTGCAGTAATACTTTTTGAATATCCCTGGAAGGAGAAGCCTTAATTACCATAATAGCTGGACTTGTGCTATTATCCAGCTAGCTGGACTCTTTGCTATTATCCAGATTGTTTTTCTGCCCATGTTTATGTCTTAAAGAGCAAATAGGCTTCTAACTCAAAAAAGAATGTTTTCACATTTAACTCATCAGATAAGCAACCCAGTTTCTTTGCAGTTAAAGAATTGTCCTTCATAGGGGAATCGGGAGGAACACTTTACCCAAAAATGCTGCAGTCTCATCTAGGAAGAGGGAACCTGATAAAATGAGGGCAGAACCTCAGATACTTATCAGATAAGATAATTTTATTTAGGATGTAAATATTTCACCTTGCCCCTTTTCCAATGTCTGTATTTGATTTGGAATTTACATAAAAATTAACTAGCTGTTTTTGACTCCTGTTAAATTTAAGTAAATCTGAGTAACTGCCTAAATTTGCATAGATAGATATAAATTACCATACTTGTTTGTTTGTTCAAGTGTCCCACCTTCCTGGGAAAATGGTGCTCAGAGTTGCTTACAGACACAATTAAAATAGGTTGAAACAATAAAACAATACATTAAAAATCAACAAAAACATAACAATGACAAAATAAAAAATAGCAACCAGCCCAACTAATTTAAAGGCCTCCTTGAATAAAGAAACCTTTGCCTGCTGGTGAAAGGACAACAGAAAGAGCAAACCTGGCCTCTCTTGAGAGGAGTTTTTCACAGATGACCTTGGACACGTTTTTCTCCCTCTCTTTTTTCCAAAATGAAAAGCATACAAAATACAGTCCTTTTTAGGAGCTTAACAGCAAATGCTCTTGCTGTGTTGCAGAGCATTTTCTAGAAGAGCTGTTCACAAGTTGTGTGAATCAAAGTAACAATCCTGCTGATCTTTGGGAGTCACTTCCGCCCATGTAAAGAGTGGATTCCAGACTGGCGCAGCCCCCTCATCCCTTCCTTTTCCCCGAGTCTTGACTCCCCTCTCCAAGTGGTTCATGCTGCTTGTAGACCAAATGGTGGGAGCATCTGAGGTTACAAAATTCATCCTCCACTGGACCAGGTGGTGCCTCACTGAGTCTTGAAATTCACTTTCTCTCCCCTTCGACGACTGTGTTTCCACTCTGCCCATGATGGCTGGTTCTCGGTTTCTGCCTGCCCAGCTGTCATGATCTGGTGATCTCCCTCTGACAGGCACCACACCAGCATGTCTTTATTTAATGTGTTTATTGCTAGTACACAAAGTCTCTGAGCATACACCAAGTGAAATGTTGTACCCTATCTACCAGTCATTACCCAAAGCTTCCCTTATCTGTGTGGTAATGCTGATGGGGCATTGCTGAAGCAGACAGATCAACACTTCTCCATCTGTGCCCTAACTGGATTTCACACCAATTTTGGTACCCAACCACTGGGTCAGTGCCTGTGGACTCCCTGTTGGAGGAACTGGCCATTTTAGCATCCTGATATTCCAGAATCACCTGCCAACACCTTCCCTTTTGCCCTCTTTATCTCACATTCCGGGTCTGAACTGTTAGTCTGGGAATGCTGCCTTGTGAGAAAGCTGCGCTCCATCTCCACAAAGCCCCAACCCTTTAAGCTCCTAGCCACGTCTCTGGCCCCATTCATACAATGTGTACACCTCCATCTTCCAATATACATATCCCATAGATCATGGAGCCTATACATGCTATGTCTGATACCTTCAGAAATCTGCAGATAGTACCTGTAACAGATAGATTATCCCAATTCACCACCACAGAGTGAGTCTGACCGTTTGCATAGTTACATCAAGTGGAAGCGGTGGGAAATCATTTAGCACTGCTGAGTAATGCAGTCAGTTTTTCCCAACCTCGTGCTCCCCAGGTGTTTTGAAATTCAGCTCCCATCCACTGCAGCCAGCTTGATTAAAGGTCAGGAATTCTGGGAGATGTGGTCCAACATAACTGGAAGGCAGCTTGAAATCCTTGTTGTTGTTAGTCGCGAAGTCTTGTCCGACCCATCGCGACCCCATGGACAACATTCCTCCAGGCCTTCCTGTCCTCCACCATCCCCCGGAGTCCACCTAAGCTCACACCAACTGCTTCAGCGACTCCATCCAGCCACCTCATTCTCTGCCATCCCCTTCTTCTTTTGAAATGCTATTGAACTAAAAGCTATAGACCTTCTGCTCATCCACTTCCATGAACCAATGTTCTGTTTTGTTAATTGGGCAGTACAGAAATATAATAATAATATTTATCATGCATAAAGAGTTTTTGGTGAGATAGATTTTTTTCTTTGCCTTTCTTTTCCATTATCAGTGTTATTTATTCTTTTCTAGAGAGCCTTATGAACTAGATGCTGTACATAGACCAAAATAAAGGCACTGGCTTACCATTAATTGACCAGAGAGACAAAGGAAAGGGACTGGATGGAGACACAGCTGGGAATGCCAGAACAAAAGAGGCCAGGC